TGGGATTGGGGAAAGTGACGGCCGCTAAAACCCTAACAGGATCAACCAGACCAGGCTCGGGTCGGTTATTAGCTGGTCCAACCAGACCCAAACGTGGCTCAGGGGCACCAGATGTCCAAACTAATTTTTTCTCTCTCCTCAACCGGTGGAAACCGACCCGCGGTGTCCTCTGGCATAATTACAACAAACCAGAGTGTCTTCTAGCATACAGCTCCACTTTGGGTGTCCGCCAGCAAACGACCACCACTGTGGGTGTCCGCCAGCCAATGTCCCCTTACAATATAGAAAACAAACGCCCTGTTCGATTGATGGTTTCTATGGCTGATATAAGCCGACTGATACTGTTTTGTTGTGAGAGAAAAATATTATACCATGGCTAATAAGCAGTTCAAGAGAACATGGTGAAAATGTTTCGAAATTTCCTATTATAAAACGAACAGATAAAAAAGGTTATAATCCTATAAAAATGATAGCCTTTATATTTGGCTAAATTCAGAAATGATCGAAGGAGGTTTCTAATATAAAACCAATATTATTATTGAGTTTGCCCCGTTCGTTTTTTACTCTAGGAGTTTGCATCAAGCACAAAGCTATCGTTGCGTGTTCCTCCAATTATACTAACCACATTAGCTTTAATTTTAGGCCATTTTTGTCAATATGACACTTAAAAATTTGCGGTTTGGTCCTGAATACATGGCCGCTTCTCCACCGCCAGTGACGCAACACCGGGGCACTACCCCTGCACGCTGTATTGTCTGCCTCCGTGCCCATGTGACATCTTCCTTTCCCCCTCTATTCCTATTCCGACCCCCAGCTCCACCCCTATCCCTTGGCTGCCATGGGGCTCTTCCTTTGCCCCATTTGGTCCGCTACCCCTCTAATTGATGTCACAGTTATGTGCTATCCCTCACATCAGCCACCGTCTTAAGTGTGTGGCCACCGTCTCTATGCTTGAAGGGAGGAAGGAGCATGACACATGAACCCAAGAGAGTAAGAAAGGGAAGGGAGGGCGCAAAAGTCATTTTACTAGTTGCATGTTCTAGAGATAAAAAACCATATTTTCGTGGTATAGTGCATACAAAACTATTGATGAAGTTGGAAACATGATTTTATGGTATGGTGCGTATTCATGGTTTTAGAGAGTTAAAAACTACAGTGATAGTACAAGCCAGTTTGGTAGAGCTTCACTTCCTGATTCTTGAGCTTCAATTCTTGTTTATCTAGTAGAGAGATTCTGGTTGGGGAGTAGGGTGAGGAGCAGGTGAGAAGTGATTCTGGTGGTGGTTCAATAGGAAGCAGTGGAGAGAAGTTTTTCTTAGCTCCAAACTTGTAATGTAAATGAAGAAGTAATTCTTATTATATAGTTCCCCATCAGAATCTAGTTGCACTTTTGGTAGAGCTTTACATAATCATCTCGAATAAACTAGGAGCGAAGTTATTATACCAAACATGCACTACAATATGTTGTGGACAAAACCACTCTTTACATGTGTCCCATGGATGAAAATCCCTATTTTTACGAGATGTCGTTAACTGGCTAGAATTGTTATAAAAAAAAACTGGCTAGAATTTGTCCATGGGAATATGGGATTCACAGCATTTTTCTTCATAAAAACAAAAACAAAAACAAAAACAGAGCAGTTCGGTCGATGGTGGTTGCAGTCGGCCGCCGCTTTTCGTGAACCATAATCCGTCATCGCCCATCAGTCATCACCGACAACGTAGCACAGGCGCGGGCGAAGAAGCAAAAGCTTCCATGATTCAGTGGATAATAAGCTTGACCGGTGGACTATTGACTACGAATAAGATATGATGCTCGCAGTTGCAGTCCGAGTCAATGTAGCAGGGAGCCAAGGATCAAGGATCATCGTCGTCAACAGCAAAGGCAAAGCGGTCAAAACCACAGCTTACGTCTAGTCTAGAGTCCTAGAGTCTTGATAGAGTCTAGACACAGAGACGAGCCTCGCATCATTATTGGATCTCCTAGGCCGCTCGCTCGAGCTCATGGTTGACCTACTGCTCCCTTCTCGTTCGCGCGTGCGTGCGCCAGCGATTACGTTTCGTATGCGCAACAGCCCAAGTGGCAGCGCACATGCATGCCGTGCCAAGTGAGCAGCAGTAGCTAGTTGGCATCAGCGGAGCGCTCAGGTTGGATGGACTTTTGACCGTTGATCGAAGAGCTGGGCTGGGGCGGCTGCGTACCTACGGAACGGATGCACCCAGTGCACGTGCATTCGTGGATCGGTGGATCTCGCGATATGACCATCTAGCTGGTCCACTTCGCACGCAGTCAGACTAGGCTCGTAGCATTCCAGCGAGAGCCGACAGTCCGACACCAACAAGCAGTGGCGGAGCGTGAATCAAAGTTAAGGAAGGGCCCATTACACTGTAGCATACTTGAACTACCACTTGAGAGTGGCTAGTTGTTCTGCTGCAAGTGTATTATTTATTACTGACACGGATATACTCATATTATTACTACTATCTCCGTTTTCGTTTACTTGTCAGCAACTTTTTATTGTAGCAAATTTGACCATACGTTTTTTTCTGCAAAAGATTTTTAGATACATTTGAACATACTTCATTAGTGTTATATACATTGAAATATCTAAGATTTTGTAGAAGGGAAAACAGATGGTCAAATTTGCTACAGTAAAAAGTTGCTGACAAGTAAACACAAACGGAGGTAAGTACTTCATCTCTACTATTGTATGACTAACTTGCTTGCTCGGACAGTTCTGCTGTTTTATACTAGCTAGCACGGCGGAGCTTGCACATCTACAGCATATTACGGGGGGCGGAGCCCTATGGCTAATACGTGGCTCCGCCGTTGCCAATCGAAAGAATCTTTGGCACCTCATTCATCTCGTTCTGGCCCACCCTGACCTAGGCCTTCTAGTCCACAGCACAAATACAGTACACATTTGTCGGGCCCAAGCCCGGCCCGGAAGATGCTCGACCCGGGCCCCAGCAAAACAGACTCGATCCACTCGATACGTCAGGCGGCCGGGCCAGCGGGACGCGCATCAGAACCACGCCGCCACACACAGCCAGTCAGCCACAGCCCTGGCGAGTTCGGAGTAGTGGCCACGAGCCCACGAAGACCGTTTCCCTTGGGTGACTGCGATGGCCCCGCATGGGTCCAGCCGCCCACAGTGCGAACGACCAAGTGCCAACGGCTAGTACATTTCCTCCGCCCCGTCGGCTCGTCCGCTCGTGGACGTGGCCTTCTCTCTCTCCACGTATCCGCCGCTACGGGCACTCTCGCTCTTCCACCCAGAACTAGCACCTTTGCTCTGACAGGAGGGGCCGGAACCCAGGTCGCCAATCTCCGAGGCAGCTTCCGTTTTTTGCTACCAAAAAATGCGCCAGTGTCAAAAGATGATTTCGCAACAGTATTACGAAACAAAGAAGAAGCCAACTGCGACACGATGAACCGGCGCATTGGCTTTGTGCCAGCGAGGTTGCTTAGCCGAGTGTGCCATGGCAATGGCATGACTGCACGGTTGCTTAGCCTTGCTTCCAACGTTCGTCTGGGTCTGGTCCAATCCTAGACGGTCAGCGTCGCGTCTCTCTCCCACTGGCCTCTCGTCGCGAGCGTCCCGTCCCGATCCCCAAATCTTCCAGGGCACCGCCCGGTCCGCCCGCAGCTTCCCGGCACGTTCCTTCCGGGCTCCACCTCCCGTCGCATCAGGCGACCACGCCACACACGGGAGAAGGGGCGGCATCCAACGAGACCGCTCCACGCGCCGCCCGGCTCTCGCCGTGGCGGACAGCGGTTGGGCGGCGTCCGTGTTCCGCGACTGCGCGAGCGGCGGTTCGGCCCGTGCAACGGATGGGCAGACAGGCTCCAAGGAAATCAATTGATTAATGACCGCGTCATACACGAGTGGAACGGAGAGCGGCGTTACGTCCACAGGCCAGGCCAGATCGATCGGCGTCGGTCCTTTGTTTGCTTCCCGTGGTGCCCGTGGTCTGGTCTCCCACACGGGATTAAGGTAGCTTTGACTCGCGCGCCGTTTCCTTTCCTTGTCGACTTCTCGTGGTCGTGCCATATGACGACGGCCCGTGCGCTGTATTTTTCCTTGGACTTGGCAGTGTGAAAACCTGGGCACTGGAGACCGGGTATAACACTCCGGAACAGCGGCTTTCGTTTTCTTTTCTCACTGTACTATAGTAATAAATCGCTTGCTTTCACTATCTCTTACGCATTTCGAAATTTCCGAGCTGCTAAAATGCTGGTGCTTGCGTCTTGCAAATACTTCAATGCATAGAGACTCGGGTTCTCACGGAAGAATTATAGACCCTGCATTTGGTTGGCTTTATGCCTTTATATGCATATATCATAGTCAAACAATGTAACTTGGGAACCAAAATGAAATGCCCTAACTCAAAAGTGGTTGGTGAAACAATGAAAAGTAAGTGCTAGTTATAATTTAAACCGACGTGGATATATAATTAAGATAATGATGAGAGAGTTGCTGTAGTTGATTTTAGATATTGTTTCTTATAAGGTAAATGGGAAGTGTTTTTAGTATAATTTTTTGTCCCGGAATTTCCCCATGCTGTTTTTTTTAAAAAAAATCTCTACTAATATGTTCTCTGAGAGGCTTTCATTAAAAAAAAGTAGCATTTCTGAAAAAAAGGGATTTCCGGATTCCAAATAAGCAGTACTTAAATATTGAAGCAAAAAGAAACGTTTTCTCTGAGAGGAAACATAAAACATTTCAAAAGAGCATCTTCATGGCATAGCATATGTTCCGATCTCCATGGACCACGAAAGGCCATTCTTATCCTTGTCCATCATCTCTCCCGTAATGCGCGTCCAGCACAACGCGTGGTGGCCGGTCCACCGTATATAATAATCCCCCTTTCAAACGGCCATCTCCGCAGACCATTCCAAAGCAGCAACCGAGACCAGGACTCGGCGACGAACCCTGAACACACAGAGAGAGAGAGAGAGCGCCCGGAAACCCTAGCCCCGCCGCCTCCGCCTCGCGATGTCTTGCACGGTGGCCATCCCGAGCTCGCCAGTCTTCTCGCCCTCACGCCGCCCGCTCTCCTGCAAGGCCGCTTCCGCCTCGCCGGAGCCCGCCGTCGCCGTCGCCGTCTCCGCCTCCTCCACGGCGCCCGCGCCCGCCGCCGCCGGCTCGCCGCTCCGCCCCTTCGCGCTCCGCGCGCTGCTCCGGGAGGAGGTCTCCCCGTCTCCGTCGCCCCAGCCGCCCTCCGCCGCCGCGGTGGCCTCGGCACCTACTGGGGCCGTGCTGAAGCGGCGGCGACCGGCGCCGCTCGTGGTGCCGGCGTCCGGCGCGGCTGCTGCTGCTGCTGCGGCGGCGGCGGTGGCCGCTGTGGAGGCAGATCCGAGGAACGAGGTGGAGGAGGAGGGGGAGGAGTTCGCGGCGTACTGCCGGAGGGGGAAGGGGAGGAGAAGGGTGGAAATGGAGGACCGGCATGTGGCCAAGGTCGCTCTCGGCGGAGATCCCCAAGTGGTAATCTCGATTGAAAATCTCTCTTGACTCTCTGTTTCGATGTGTACTTTTCTCGTGATTTTGAAAACATAAGACGAACTTGGAATTGTCCTTCAGTGGCGACTATTCGGGTGTTTTGGGGCTGAAAAATTGCGTTGTTTCCTCTGAAATTTCCTTCAGGACTAGAACTTAATCGACTGATTCCATCTTCTCAGGCGCTGTTTGGTGTATTCGATGGCCACGGCGGGAAAAACGCGGCAGAGTTCGCTGCTGAGAACTTGCCCAAGTTTATTGCCGAGGAGTTCAAGAAGGTAAACGGCGGAGAGATCGAAGGAGCTGTGAAAAGGGGTTACCTCAAGACGGACGAGGAGTTCCTCAAGAGGGACGAGAGCGGGGGCGCGTGCTGCGTCACAGCCGTTCTCCAAAAGGGTGGACTGGTCGTCTCCAATGCCGGAGACTGCCGTGCGGTGCTCAGCCGAGCAGGGAAGGCAGAGGCGCTCACCTCCGACCACCGGGCCTCCCGGGAGGATGAGAAGGAGAGAATAGAGAATTTGGTATGTCCACGATGTCCTAACCTTCTCATTTCTTGCACAAACTCTGCTAATGCAATTGAACAATGCATCGTAGCTGAATGGACTAGATGATTCAGTAATTAATTAACACAATCAAGCATACTACATGAATTATACATTGTTGTGCAATTTCGCTTATGTGCCTGCTCATTTGCTTTTCAGGGTGGATTTGTGGTGAATTACCGTGGAACATGGCGAGTCCAGGGCTCCCTGGCAGTGTCTAGGGGCATTGGGGATGGACATCTAAAGCAGTGGGTTGTGGCTGACCCAGACACCAGGACGCTCCTGGTTGACCAGCAGTGCGAGTTCTTGATACTTGCTTCTGATGGCCTCTGGGATAAGATCGATAATCAGGAGGCAGTAGACCTTGCACGACATCTCTGCATTAACAACGACAAGACCTCTCGCATGGCTGCCTGCAGGATGCTCACTGAGACGTCGATTTCCAGGGGCTCAACTGATGATATCAGTGTCGTGATCGTGCAGTTGCAGAAATTTTCAAGTTCCTAACCTGATTGGAGAAACTGGACCCAAAACTCTAGCCAGTAGCACTAACAGACTGGTGGAAGGCAGGATAGGTAGACATCATGTTACTTCGCTGGCGAAAGTTTTCATGAGTCGGCGTTATTTCGTGGGAATTTTAACACCCACTCTTTGTCATAAAACCATTCGTTTTATTATTTGATCCATTCTTTGACAGTACTGAAATAATGCGGGGTGATTTCTCGCTTCATGATCTCATACTGTGAAAGGCGATTTGCCTATGTACTATGATATATTATATTCATAGTAGATTAAAACTTGCCGTACTTTTGTTTGTTCATAAGTTCGTTTTGTGATGAGTGGTTGTCAACGTGATCTACAACCTATGTTGAGTCTGTGAGCTAATCATGGTGTGAGTTGGGTTGTGCGACGTGTCCCTTGGTTTGTGGTGTGGAGTTCGGAGGCGATGGTCGACGGCGAGGTGAATGTCAAATAGGGACGTGCCGTATCGATGGACCGGGAGTGGTGAAGGCGAGGTGAAGGTCAAATAGGGACGTGCCGTATCGATGGACCGGGAGTGGTGAAGGACGGACGTGAGGTTTGGACTGAGGGACCAGGAGGCCGGGTGACTAGCCGCGGTGGCCGACATCTGGGACATCGATAAGCGCAAATGTACATGGGAGTGACCGTGTTGACCGAGTCAAGACGGCGGACGTGCGAGTTGAGCGGGGCTCAGGAGGACTTGGCGGACGGCCGGTCGAGGACGGCGGTGACACGTGTCGAGTGGCAAGGGACGCGTACAGGGTACACTACTCGCGGGCGGTTTGGTGGTTTGGGCCTCAAAACCATTGGTGGCCCGTTTCACGGGTTTAAGCCTCAAAACCTGGGTGAAGGTTCCGAGGAGGAACGAACGGCACGTGATGAAAATTATCTTGTGTTGGAGTATAGTGCCCTAGGGTTAAGTGGTTCGACTCAAAAATATCTAAGGGCAAAACTGGAATTGTGTAATAGCCCTGTTAAATAGAATGAGAGAGCTATTTCATTTTGCTCCATCCTTCTCTAAGTTTTCCCCTCTCCTTAGGTTTTCTTGTGAGAGAGGTCCATAAATTGGATAATTTATGTAAGAACCAAAGATTGCAGCGGGAATGGAGGCCCTAACCTCCTCGTGTCCTCCGGGATTCAATTTGTGAGTTCTTGTGAATCGCGTTTTGTGTTCTTCGCGTTCTTCCTTTCCCCCTTCTCTTGTGTGGTTCGATTCGTCGTTTTGAGACCGTTTTGATTCGTTCCTTTTGCACTGAGATGAACTAGGACGTGAGTTGAGCCTTTCTACTGAGGGATTTCACCTAATTCCTCACGAGTTCATAGATCGGGGCGAATCAAGCTCTAGGGTTGGGAAACCGGTGTTTTTCATGTTCATCCAATTTCTTGTTGATTGGCTTCAAATTGGGCGATGATCTCCTAGAGGTAGCTCACCTATTGCCTTGTGACCATGTGGTCAAAATTTAGTGGCAATTGGTTTTGATTTGGTCGCAAATTGGGATTTTTCTTGCTCCGGGCGTTTTTTGGGCGACTCTATTCGTGATGATTTTGCGCGGACAGTCCGTCCCTGACCCTCGGACAGTCCACCACCACTGTTCACGTCGTGAGCGGAAGGTCTTCTTTTGGTCGTGTTTTGCTGCTCTGAACGTCGGACAGTTCGGGCCTACCCGCGGACAGCCCGGGGCTGCTGCTGAAGCGTGTCTAGAACTGTTTCAACAAGTTCGTTTTCTGGTGTTTGATTTGCGGACAGTCCGGGATTCAACCGTGGATAGTCAGCCGTTCTTCTTTTTGCCCAAGTCAGAACTATTTCTCATCGTTTAGTTTTCGGGAGTTGAACGCCGGACAGTTCGGCCCTCAACCCCGGATAGTTCGGGACCTGACCCGCGGACACTCCGGGCTCCCTACGGCAGACAACCTGGCCCTGTGCAGATTGTGCTGCTTTCTCTCGTTTTTCGAGCACTTGTTTTTGTCTGTTCTCGGTTTATCCGCTGTACCTCTTGGTCATCGCCAAAGGTACCTAGCCACCCGTTGGCTTGTGATCATACCGTTGTCTAGTGCCTTTGCTCTTTGGTCGTGATTTTGGGACACGGCTTAAAGTTTCGAAAGAAATTTGAGGCTCCCATTCACCCCCCTTGGTCGTCGTTTTCGGCCCTTCAATTGGTATTGGAGCCGGTTATGGATCATTCCACCTTAATCGGTCCGTGATCCACGAAGGCGACATAGAGCGTGGTTCCAGCAAACCACCTTTCTTCGATGGAAGAAACTACCCCTATTGGAAGATTCGCATGTCGACGCATCTTCAGGGAATTAATTGAAAAGTTTTGGAGATATATGAGAATGCTAATTACGTTGTGCTTGATGCTCGCAACACTCAGGATCAAATTGATCAACACAACATAAACAACAAGGCTCGTAGTGTTCTCTTTTCGAGTCTTTCACTTTCTGAGTTTGAGAGAGTCTCCGATTACACGACTATTCTTGAGATCTGGATGAGGCTTTAGAGCTATCACGAGGGAACTGCACAGGTCAAAACCAGACTCTTTGAGACGTACAAGCGAGAGTATGAGAACTTCTCTCAGTTGGATGGAGAGTCTATCGATTCCATGTTCTCTTGCTTTCAGACGATTGTGAAGAAGATGCGGGCAAACAAGCCGCAGCTACCTTATGATGATCATGAGAGGGCACTCAAGTTACTATATGCCCTAGATCAGAAGTTTTGGGATGTGAAGGTGTCTGCTATCATTGTGTCCGTGAACTACGACACCCTCATCGTGGATGAGCTTTTCAGCAAGCTCAAGTCCACCGAGATTGATTACCAGATCCAAGCCAAGATCAAGAACCCCTCTGCACCGACTATGGCTTTGGTCTCTGGTAACGGCTCAAGTTCTTCAGCTAATCCTTCACAGATGTCGTTTGCCTTGTCTTCTTTGGTGTCTATCACAGAGGAGTAGTTAGAGGCCCTTGGGGACGATGAGCTGGCACTGGTCATCAGTCGGTTCTTGCGGTTTAACAACAACCACTTGAATCGCCGACGCGGTGGTGGTCTGAAGGAAAGATGCTATGGCTGTGGAGACCCCAACCACTTCGTCGCCCACTGCCCCAAGAAGAACAAGCACTCCTCCGACAAGTATGACTCCAGCAAGCGTAAGGACAAGCGTGAGTACACCTCCAACAAGCACAAGTCGAAGGGAGGATTCGGCAAGGAGGCGCTCAAGAAGATGTACCTCAAGAAGATGTACCTCAAGAAGGCCAAGGCACAGGAGCACGCCTTACTTGCCTCCCTCAGTGACCTCGATAATGACACCGACGATGACTGCTCTTCTTCACCCTCGAGCGATGATGAGTCCAAGAGAAAGCACGAGGACAAGCTGACCGGGCTCTACTTCATCACCGGTTCCACCCACGGAGGGTTTTGCACCATGGCAGTCGATGTCGAGGTGAAGGCTAACAAGGATGTGGTTCTCATCAACAACGACAGTACTGAGGTAACACCTTCCATCGACTATCTTGTTGCTGAGCTTGAAACCATGAATGACACCTTGTTTAGCCAAGATAAGTTGCTGAAGCGTGTTGCCCGTGAGAGGAAAGAGTTTAAGGATAAGCTAGAAATTGTGCTGGAGGAGCTTGAGGAAGCTAAAAAGCTTGTTGTAGTAGTGTCTGACGAGGTTGAGTGCGATGAGTGTGCTGTTCACATGTCCAACCTTATCGATTTGCAATCAAAGTATGTTGCTTTGCTTGATGAGAATGATGAGTTGAAGTCTAGGTCTAACTTGTTGGGTGCGTGCAAGTCCTGCTCGGGCTTGGAATCTAAGCTGGCAGAGAAGGTTGCTAGGGTCTCTTTGCTTAAGAAGGCCAGTTCAGATAGCATTGCTGCTAGGTGCGCACGCTGTGAGGGTTTGGAGCTAGAGCTTGAGTCATGCAGGCACGACAAGATGAGAACCGAGGAAGACAACACAAACCTCCAATCCATCTTGAGCTGGGTGTCCTACAGTGAGCCATAGTTGGGCATGATGATGAGCCAGTTCAGGCGGGGAACTGGTGCATCGGGTGTAGGCTTTACTATAGGTGGGAAGGGTGAAAATCTCTACGGCAAGGTTGGAGAATACAGTGGATTGAAACCAAGTGAGAAACCTACCACTACTCACAAATTGATCAAGATCACTCCACCTGAGCCTACTTTGCCTACCACCAAAGATGGAGTGTTTGAAGAACCTCCAAAAGCTCCACCCCAGAAACAAGTTTGGGTTCCAAAACCTAACCATATCAAGAACCCACTTGATACTCTACTAAACATCTCTAAGGATCCCCTTCCTAAAGCCAAAAATACACCAATAGTGAACCATACCCACAAGAGAGTGAGCCAACAACCACCCAAGAGAGAGGTGAGGTATCACTGTGACTATTGCCATAGGGATGGTTATCTTGCTGAGTTTTGCTTTAGGAGGAAGAGAGATGAGCGGCGAGAGTACTAGTTGAATAACTAGAACATGTACCACCCGCCCCATGGCGTACATGTGCCGCCCGTTCAGAGGCGCAGTGCTAGGACTAGAGGTGCAATGCCTCAACATGCTAGGCCTTAGGTTGTGAGACCACGCGGTGGTCGTGCACGGCATGGTTCAAGTCATGATCAATATGACTTTGGACCTCATGGTAGTGGCTTTCAGTCCTACAACACTAGTGGACCACGTTTTCTCCCACAAGGTGTTCGTTTTCCTCAAATGGGACACGGTATGTTTGGTGTTTTTCCTAACACTTTTCTAGGGTAAATGAGCTAACATTGGTATCCTTCATAGTTTACTAACCCTAGTGTTGCGCCATTTGTTCATCCTATGCCCTTCTATTGATACAGGACGGAGGCCTAGAGAACACGTGTCTCATTGATTCTGGCTGTTCGCGCCACATGACCGGAAGTTCAAAATGGTTCTCTAGCCTCGACCCCATGCAATGTAAAGAGTACATCACATTCGGGGACAATAGCAAAGGTAAGG